GAGAGTGCAAAGTGGTAACGACAGGGCGCGGCGGGGTGGCGGCGGTTGTGAATGGCACATCTCTGACAGCCTCGTAGCCTAAGTTGACTCGGTGAAGGGTGACGAGCGGGTCTTGTGTCTTGCTGCGCTAGGGGAGTGTGACTTTGGCGGGGTGGAGGAGGAGGGAGGGAAGGGTGCGAAAAGGTGAGGGGGAAGGGACGCACGGTGAGGTAAGCTGGCATCGTTAGGCACTGAGTTACGGAGGTGATGTGCGCGATAAACGTTGGAGGGGGGAGGGGGAGGGGGGGGAGGTGTCGCCAGGCCGGCCCTCGTGCAGTGGGCGGGCGAGGATCGCACATGCACTGTTTTCCCCCTCACCTCCCCCCCGCCTAGTTCTCTCTTGCTCTCTGCTCTCTCTCTCTCTTCTCTCGGTCTCTCTCTTCTCTCTCTCTTCTCATCTCTCTCTCTCTCGTCTCTCTCTCTCTTCTCTTTTCTTTTCTTTCTCTCTCTCTCTCTCTCTCCTCCTCCCTCCCTCCCCCTCCCTCCTCTCCCACCTTCCCTCCACCTCCCTCCTTCCCTCCACCTCCTCCTTCCCTCCCTCGCTCTTCCCTCCCCCTTCTCCTCCCTCCTCTTCCCTTCCCTCCCTTTCTCCTCCTCCTCCTTCCTCTCCCCTCCTTCCCCTCCCACTTCCCCTCTTCCCGCTTTACTCTGCCTTCTCCTTTGCTCCTCTTCCCTTCCCCCCTCCCTCCGCTCCCTCCCTCCTCTTTGTGTTTCCCGTTCCTGTGCATTTTCTGGGAATTTTGCTCTTTAGATGCCTGTATCGCCCTCCTCTGGGGACTTGATTTTATTTGTTGACTGACTTAACGCTTTTTCTTCTATTTCTCGTGTTCCTGGTGTCGTCATATTTCCCCTTTTTTCTTGTCTTATGTTTATGCTTATCTGAAGATTGGTTGCTCTTATGGTATATATATTTTTTTGATGTTGGTGTTATGTATGTATGTAGATGTTTATAGTTTTGTTGATACATTCTTGTCATTGTTTGGTCGTTTTTTTTAAATGTATTTTGCGTTGTACTTCTTTTTTTAAAGAATTCCTTGCTTTTTTTTGTTTCTTCTTTCCTTTCATTTCTGCGCAATTGAAGAAGTGAAGAACTCGGCTCAGGTGTTTAATTTTTTTTCACGGTGAAAAACAACAACAAAACAACAGATTGGTTTACGACGATATTAAAAGACAATATTGACTCAGGTTAATATTCCCG